ATTAACGTAAAGATAGAAAGACGAAAACTATTAACAACAAACCCTTTACCGACGGCAGACATCCTAGCCAGTAATAAAGAGAAATACAAAGAAGAATTAGCACGAAAACTAGTAGCAAATACCTTAGAGCACAAGAATATAGATGAACTAGCTGAGAAAATAACTAAAGACATACAAACTGTCACTAAGAAACTTTGTTGCAAAATAAGAAAACAAAAAGAAGCTAAACTAAAACCCGAGATTCTAGAACAGATAGAGAAAAGAAGAAGAACGAACAGAGATAACCCGGACTATAAAGCGCTCAACAAAAGCGTTAACAAAAATATTCGAAAAGACCTCAGAGCTTATAGAACAAACCAGATTTTTGAAACCATAGAGCACAATAAGAACATGAAAGTACTAAAAACATGTAAATCCACTGGCATGAATAAAATCATAAAGATAAAAGACAACCGTGGAATATTGTGCTCGCATAAGGAAGAGATCGTTAGAGAAATCCGAAAATTGTATGAAAAGCTGTATACTTCTACTATTCCGAACCCCGGTATACCAACAAAACATATCTTAAATGTGGGCTCAGAGGATTTCCCTGAAATAATGACATCAGAAATTAGAGCCGACCTAAAACAAATGAAAAATGGGAAAACACCAGGAGAAGATAAAATTACTTCAGAGATGCTAAAAATGGGAGGCACTGAATAATAAGCTTATTGTCACACATTTACAAACTACTAACCCGAATAATAACAAACAGATTTTCAGCTAAACTAGATGCATACCAATCAGTAGAGCAAGCAGGTTTTCGTAAGGGTGTTAGCACTATCTATCACTTGCAAACAATCCGGACAGTTAAACGGAAAAAACAATAAAGTACAACACACCACCACATCTGGCATTTGTCGATTATCACAAAGCATTCGACAGTATCGAGAAATGGGCATTCTTAACAGCATTGGACAACGCCACAGTAGATTCAGGATATGCTGCCCTCCTTAAGAATATATACTATGATGCTACTTTTCACGTAAAAATAGATGATGATCTGGAAACTATGAAAATAGACCTTGGCAAAGGTGTGAGACAGGGCGACACCATGTCACCCAAGTTATTTACTTTGGCAGTAGAAAATGTTTCCAAAAAACTAAATTGGGCCGAAAAGGGATTAAAAATAGATCTAATATATCTTAACCATTTGCGTTTCGTAGACGACATAGTACTAATAAGCACAGATATCCATGAACTAAAATCAATACTACAGGATTTAAATCACAAATCGAATTAAATAGGATTAAAAATGAATATCGATAAAATAAAGATATTAAGCAACAGCCTAGAAAATTAGAAAATATCAGGATAGATAACATCAATATAGAAAAGGTAGAACAATATATATATATATATATATATATATATATATATATATATATATATATATATATATAAAGAAGTACTTGTGACTCGTTTGGAAAAAATATAACACTGTTTTTGATGGGTTGGAGTCAATAAAAGGGGCTATTTGTTGACTATTTTTTACTCGAGCTTTCAATTGTGATTACAATTTTTATCAAGAGCTTCTAAAAAATACAAAATGTCTTACAAAGTTGAACTAGAAATAAAAAATTTTTTGTTATTATTATTTGGTGAGTTAACAAAAAATTTTTTATTTCTAGTTCAACTTTGTAAGACATTTTGTATTTTTTAGAAGCTCTTGATAAAAATTGTAATCACAATTGAAAGCTCGAGTAAAAAATAGTCAACAAATAGCCCCTTTTATTGACTCCAACCCATCAAAAACAGTGTTATATATATATATATATATATATATATATATATATATATATATATATATATATATATATATATATATATATATATATATATATATATATATATATATATGGCTTGCATTTAAAAACGAAAAGTAAAATCAAACCCTAGAAAGTAAAGGAAGGACACAATTGTCATGGGCTGCTTTTGGTAAGTTGTGCTTCATTTTAAAATACAGAAAAATCCCAATTTACTTAAAACGAAAAACCTATGACACTTGTATACTACCAGTTGCAACTTATGGATTGGAAACTATGGCAATAACAAGAAAATGGCAGAACAATTAAGAGTAGCTCAACGGGCCATGGAAATAGCGATGTTAAATATAAGCCTCAGAGACAAAATTCCTAACACCGAAATACGTCGAAGAACTAAAGTAACCGACATCATGGGAAAAATAGCGACATTGAGATGGCAATGGGTAGCACATGTATCAAGAGAAGACACCAGCAGATGGTCTCAAAAAGTGACATGCTAGAGACCTTGAGAAACATAAAGAAGCGTGGGAACACCTAAAAAGAAATGAATAGACGATATAACAGCTGTAGCTGGAAAAAAGTGGATGAGAATTGCAAAAGATAGGGAAGCCTGGAAGTAATTGGAGGAGGCCTATGTCCAAAAATGGATAAATAAAGCTGAAGAGGAAGAAGAAGAAGCATTAAGTAATTTAAAACCGGTAGAACGTATACACTTTAAGTTGGTTCTGGTTTTAATTATGTTGGGATAATTTATTCATAGCCAAGAAAAAGTGCGCCTAAACAATTACAAGTAAATAGATCCTTCAAACACAAGCAACAACAAGTCTCATGGTACGACTCAGTACTTAGCTGCAGTTATTCCATATTATATTTGATGGTTCCAATTGGTCCCAATTAGGTAGTTAGGTCCTCCTGGCAGCTGCAGTTATTCCTTAAATTATCCAATAAAGCGTTTCAATACAGCCAATAAAACCAATAAACCCAAGAGAATTCTGCAGAACATAAAATGTTTTCCTAAATGTAAAAATAAATTTTCCTAAATGTTTTTCCAATAAGACGGTATCACACAAGCTACTAAATTAAAAATCAGGAAAGCTGAAAATGGGGTAATTATTTATTGTACACTATATTCGTTATTAATATAAAGTAATAAAAAATAAATGAAACTGTTTTATCCATTAACAACAACGATGTCCTAACTTTATCTTATTATACATGCGACCTATATTTTCTTACTAACAGAAGACCTAAGAATGCCAAATGGACAGTCCAGCTCCATCTTAAAACAGACGACCAGCCATAACCGTATCGTAAGTCAGAAGCGAGCCAGCTCAAGATCTGAATTCATCGACCCCACCTCGTAATTGAGGACGACAATCACACACTGAAAACGGAGCTGGAATGAAATTGCTGATAAAATGGTCCTGCACTCACCCCATTCGGGACCGTTACGTCAGGGTTTATTGAATATTTCTCGTGTTTTGCGACCTCTCACTTTGACTACGACTCCGGGAAATGACCTATTATTTGTTTTATTAACTTTGTTAATGTCCATGTTTCCAGAAAGTTGTGAGACAAGAATGGTTTATTAAATACTTTGTTGTATCTTCGAATGCAATTATTTCATGTTTTGTGTATTACGTGTTCTGTGATTTATTTGCACAAATAAAAAATCAGATAAAAACGAAATGGCTGGCTTACATTTTATTTTGTCTGCTAACATGCATCTGTGTTTGTTTAGAAAAAAGGGACAATACAAAATACTAATGTAAAAGCGTAGATAATGCAACCCAATGCTAATCTTCTTCATGTTTTTTCTCTGCTCATTTATTATATATTGTAACCTCGGAATCCTTTATTGGATGGTGCTAGAAAGGTTACCAATGGAGACACTGCGGACGGCAGCCAGATGGTTAGTGGAGAGCAAGTCGTGGGTTCGAAACTAGCTTTTGAAACCGGTAATGGGTCCAACGGACGAAATAAGTAAAGATAGGACTGGATAAGATGTATTAGAAAAGGTACAGAAATATCAAAAAGATAGATGGATAAAATTACCAAAGATAAGATAACATAGAAAGAGGGCACCACCTAACTTTTTGGGTTCTAGGAGAAAATAAGAAACCTTGGAAAAGAAAAGAGATAAGGAAAGATATTTAGGTTCTGAGACCAAATCCAAGGAAAGATATCAACAGTTAATTATTAAATAAATTTGGTCGACACACTATGTAAACAAATAATAAATATATTAGGTGTACTCCGTCCACCTACTTACCTACGAAACTTAATCAGCCTGATCTTTCATCTGGTCAAAGGTATAATAATTATTTAATATAATAAACAAACATTCATATAGGCATTGTTCTATAAGGAAACTTATTAGTAGTCGAGAAATAAAATTCATACATAAAACAAAACAATATATTCAACACCACTATGGTATAGGCAGCTGAATGTATACACAAGTAAAAAGAATGCATCATCAATTATTAAATGGAGGTATACATAACAATAAACAGTATTATAGGAAATGCCTTTACAAATACAATAATATAATAAAATCATGCATAGCTTAAATTATCAGCGAAGAGAGTCTGGTAATGATTAAAAATATTCAACGAAACTGATTGAAGAAATCTCTCTTTGCTGTTTATGGGCTTATCTCGAGATAACGGGTACAGTAAGTTAAAAACACAAGCCCTTTTAGGAGTCCGTATATGGAGAAGATCAGTCAGATAAGCAAGGGTGGAGGCAAAAAATAAAGGAGGCAAAGCCTCAATTTAGGCTGTAGTGCCGTAGAAGAAGAAGAAAGTTAACATAGACAATGAAAAGTCTTATTATAAAATAGAGGATTACCGTCAAAATGTTTTATTTTGCCCACTTTAAAATAGAATTTATCCAGATTTTCGAATTCTATTGGAATATTCTAGTGTTGGTTTTCTCCTTTCGTCATCGATCTTTTGCATTATTTGTAGATCTTCAGGATTACAAATTTGTGGTAATTTTGACATTAGTGATAAAAGACTTTAGCAACTTTGAAATCTACTTTTATTTAGAAGGTATATCTTAACCATGACTGGATATACTAAATCATTTTATGTATAATCCTATTTATGTACTATGTATTTATATTAAGTAATATCATAATATATTTAATTTTTATTATTTAAATATTATTAATATTTTCTTCTCTTTCAGCTTACCACCACTCCAGTCACCAATTACCCCGTATCACCGAACACCCTGTCGATACGACAGTGGCCCGTCACGAACCGGCCACCCTAAATTGCAATGCCCAGGGCGATCCTGAACCTACGATCACATGGTACAAAGACGGCCAAGTTCTGAGAACGGCTCCTCAGGACGCAAGGTCACACAGAGTGCTACTGCCTGCGGGAAGTCTATTTTTTCTAAGGGTAGCCCAAAGCAGAAAGGAGTCCGATGCAGGAACGTATTGGTGCGAGGCTAGCAACGTATTGGGGAAAGCTAGAAGTCGGAATGCTACGCTCACTGTTGCCGGTAAGTGTATTAAACTAATCATATGTAGTGTCCTCTACAATTATAGAAATTATCCTTCTTCGCGCAAGTCCTTTTTTTTCGTCCCGTTGTGGAAGAAGAGGTCTTTCAAATAATAAAATCTCTTAGTAATTCTAGTTGTAGGGACGTTCACAAAATTAATAGCAAACTTTTAAAACAAACTTACCAAAGAGTTTTAACACCTTTCACTCATCTTATTAATTTAATTCTATTAACGGGAGTATTTTCTGAAGTAATAAAATAATCAAAAGTATAACCTATCTACAGAAAAGGTGATTCCTCAAAAATTGACAATAATTACAGACCCATAACTATTTTTTCTACTTTTGGGAAAGTGATTGAAAATATTATCAAACAATTTTTATTCCTATTATAATGTTTTTATTAATTCTAATTTATTGTTCTTATTTTAATTTACTAAAGGTTCTATACTTATAACACTCACAAATTTATTAAAGTCTTTATTACTACTAATTTATTTTACACTTAATAATTATATAATTTATAGGTAAAGAAATAATAATAAGACTTACTCACAATCAATTTAATTTAACAATCTGACGACCGGTTTCGCTTTCTATAATTTGCAAAGCATCTTCAGGTCGAGATACAAAGTTAAACTAATGCTGCAATAAAATAAACCCAATTAGGGTGGTGTCTCATAAAGATAAAATAAACAAATAAATAAATTAGTTCATACAAATTATAGTAATTATGCCAATATTACATGTCTGTGGTTTTCAAAATGAATAATTTGAATATATAAAAGGTAGTAACAGACAAGGTAAGGCCCACAATTGGTATAAAGTAGCAATCTTTTGTTGTAATAAATTAATAAATGAGCAAATAAATAAAACAAAACAAAACAAACAATACTTACATGCCGGTACTCTATTAATTGATGGATGGTAGGTCATGGTTGCAAAAATCATGTATTGTTGATTGGAGAACTTTAATGAGCTATTGCAGTTGTTTTGACAATAAACGGGAAGTTCTTGAGGAGAACAGATTTGATCCAATGAATTAGAGATAGGTATATTGTTGTTGTTTGTCAGATGAAAGTGATGTTCTTTACTATTGTATTAATTAAATTATTTACACTTATAACAGAGATATATTTTTTTGGAATGTGTGTTATTTATTGAGTATTTATGTAATGAAGGAGACAGTTTTATGACAATGAATAAGAGTAGCTGTACCGATTGTGTGGTTGTGCAATTTTTGACTTGCAATTATCAAGTCTATTGGCAAAATTATTAAAGTATTGTAAAGTCAACTATGTAAAAAGGTATATAAAAAGTATATAAAATTATTATAACTTAAGAATGATTAGGGACAAATTAAACACACATTAACAGGAAACAGAAACACTAAATGACGGGACAAACATTGAATTTAAAACTAAAACTTGGGGATGGAAGAAACTGTTAGCACTACATCTCACTTGTTGGAAGAAATGAGTTTTTTCATATTTAATCTATTAGATTTAAGAGGTAAATTTGACATATGTAGGTTGAAGTGTGACAGTTCTTCTTCTCTTACTAAATACTGTAAGTTTAGTTATTCAGTATTATGGAGTATGTTGATATTAATGAATGTATCAAAATTTGTTTTAATTTTGAAATCAAAAGTAAATTGATGTTTTAATATTGGCATACTTTAACAATTTTAATTAGTAAGTTTCAAATTCAAAAATTTTTTATGGTAACAATGTGAATAATTGAAATACATCATTTGTTATAACTAACCAATTTTAGTCTAAATATTTCAGAACAAATTAAAATGATTATTTAGTAAATACAAACAAGTGTACTTGTAATTGAAAGATATAACAAATTTACAAATTGCCTGAGAATTTTTTTTTCCATCTGGTTTCGACAATTTACTTAAATTACAACAATTTTATTTCAAACTCAACACGTGGTTTATGGATTTCCAACATGACTGAAAATTGTTCAGACTAGCTATTCGGATTACATATATCTATACTATTCATAATCCTGTATAGATTTAAAATTTAAATAGAAACATTACCTTTCAAAAACAGATTTTAATTTTAATCAAAAATTTTTTAAAAATTCTTACTAAAACTACTGTAAAAAACTCACCAGTGTTCTTGTCGGTTTGAGGAATGTCTGTTCGTATGAGACAAAGAATTGAAATAAAATATATTTTACACCGGTTTAAATGTGTACCTGCTGCCCGGGATGGAATCAATTTCCGGTTCCAATTGTCATAAATTAGTATTACCAACTAATTATTCAAGATTTAAGTCAGTCAATTACTCGAATTCAAAATTTAAATAATCATCAATATTCACCCAATTACTACTTTATTTAATTATTAATTATTACAATTTAAATAAAAATATTTTAAGAAATGTTCATACACCATAATAGATAGCTCAGACCGACAATCATTTCAAATAAAAAAAAAAAAAAAAAAAAAAAAAAAAAAAAAAATTCTCAGGCATGTATTTACTAAATAATCATTTTAATTTGTTCTGAAATATTTAGACTAAAATTGGTTAGTTATAACAAATGATGTATTTCAATTATTCACATTGTTACCATAAAAAATTTTTGAATTTGAAACTTACTAATTAAAATTGTTAAAGTATGCCAATATTAAAACATCAATTTACTTTTGATTTCAAAATTAAAACAAATTTTGATACATTCATTAATATCAACATACTCCATAATACTGAATAACTAAACTTACAGTATTTAGTAAGAGAAGAAGAACTGTCACACTTCAACCTACATATGTCAAATTTACCTCTTAAATCTAATAGATTAAATATGAAAAAACTCATTTCTTCCAACAATTGAGATGTAGTGCTAACAGTTTCTTCCATCCCCAAGTTTTAGTTTTAAATTCAATGTTTGTCCCGTCATTTAGTGTTTCTGTTTCCTGTTAATGTGTGTTTAATTTGTCCCTAATCATTCTTAAGTTATAATAATTTTATATACTTTTTATATACCTTTTTACATAGTTGACTTTACAATACTTTAATAATTTTGCCAATAGACTTGATAATTGCAAGTCAAAAATTGCACAACCACACAATCGGTACAGCTACTCTTATTCATTGTCATAAAACTGTCTCCTTCATTACATAAATACTCAATAAATAACACACATTCCAAAAAATATATCTCTGTTATAAGTGTAAATAATTTAATTAATACAATAGTAAAGAACATCACTTTCATCTGACAAACAACAACAATATACCTATCTCTAATTCATTGGATCAAATCTGTTCTCCTCAAGAACTTCCCGTTTATTGTCAAAACAACTGCAATAGCTCATTAAAGTTCTCCAATCAACAATACATGATTTTTGCAACCATGACCTACCATCCATCAATTAATAGAGTACCGCATGTAAGTAATGTTTGTTTTGTTTTGTTTTATTTATTTGCTCATTTATTAATTTATTACAACAAAAGATTGCTACTTTATACCAATTGTGGGCCTTACCTTGTCTGTTACTACCTTTTATATATTCAAATTATTCATTTTGAAAACCACAGACATGTAATATTGGCATAATTACTATAATTTGTATGAACTAATTTATTTATTTGTTTATTTTATCTTTATGAGACACCACCCTAATTGGTTTATTTTATTGCAGCATTAGTTTAACTTTGTATCTCGACCTGAAGATGCTTTGCAAATTATAGAAAGCGAAACCGGTCGTCAGATTGTTAAATTAAATTGATTGTGAGTAAGTCTTATTATTATTTCTTTACCTATTTGATATGGACTCACACAAGCAACACATTCATGATTTATATAATTTATCTACATTTATAAAACGTGCGTTACAATTCAAAACGCGATCCCGATATCTTCTTTTGACTGCCTACGCAATGAAAGCTCTGTTATTATATATTCATTCAGCTGCTAGACTAGAAAGATCTGGCGATGAGTCGATGACCTTCCACTCATTAGACGATAGGGTGACTCATGGACAATTACTAGAAATAGAAAAGAATTAGTCATAATATACTTACAGTTTTATACGCCATAATATTTATTATCGTAACACTATTTTGAGTCAAATAATTCCTTTAGCAAATTACAATATATAATCCTTAGACCTTGGTAAAGGTTTCAGTGAGCTCATTTTGGACTCTGACAATTGCTATTGACGAATCCTTTGTTGTTTTTACGAGTCGGATGTATTTTTGGGGGATATTAAAGCTCTGCAATATTTGTTTGCTATGTAATATTAATATTGCTATGCAATATTAATTGAGTCGTAGGCTTGTTTGAAATCAATGAATATGTTGTGAACGTCAATGTCGTATTCGCACGATTTGTTTAAAATTTGTTTCACTGTGAATAGTTGGTCAGTTGTAGATCTTCCTTGTCGGAAACCGGTTTGTTATTCCCCGACAATATTTTCAGTTAGTTGTTGGAGTCGTTTGATTAGTATGTAATTAAAAATGTTGTACGTCATGCACAAGAGGGTTATGCCGCGATAATTTTCGCATTTCTCCTTTTCCCCCAGTTTATCCTTTTTTTTATAGATAGCGCATATAATCCCGGTTTTCCAATCATTAGGGATCTTTTCATCATTCCAAATCTTGCTCTTCATTTTCTTGTGTCCCTAAAAGAGTTTGGAAATAGGTTTTCCAGACTGGTTCACTGGACAGATCACTGGTTATTTGCCCTTCTTGATTTCTGGATATATTTATTCTGGTTTGTCTGTCTTATATTATTGCGTTGAAGATTTTCTTTCATTTTCTGTATATTGCCGTTTCCGTATTTTTTTTCTCTGTTTGGCATATTTTATCGGCCCTCCGTATTGCATCTTGGTAACTTACTCTTCTGTCTCTGGTTCTTCTTTCCATATATATTTCTTGTGTTCTTCATTTATTTCTGTATGGCCTTATCATATTCGTCTTTAAACCATTCCTTTTTTGTATTTTTCTTTTTCTTGTCTATGATTTTTCTTGCTGCGTC